AGCTGGAGCTGCGCCAATCGGAAGCCAGGAGCCAGGAGCTTCCTCCAGGTCTCCCACATGGGTGCAGGGTCCCAAACACTTGGGCCATCTTCTACTGCTTTCCCAGGCCATAGCAGAGAGCTGGATCAGAAGTGGAGCAGCCAGGTCTTGAACCGGCGCCCATAAGGGATGCCGGCACTTAAGACCAGGGCATTAACCCGCTGTGCCACAGTGCCAGCCCCAATGTGAGCCATTCTAATTTGAATGAAATTTCATCATGGTTTTGAATTGCATGTTCCTGATGGCTAGTGATCCTGAGCGTTTTCTCAAATGTCTGTTGGCCATTTGAATTTCTTCTCTTGAAAAAATACCTGTTCAAGTCCTTTGCCCATTTCTTAACTGGATTATTTGCTTTGTTATTGTTGAGTGTTTTGAGCGCTTTATAGATTGTGGATGTCAACCCTTTATCAGTTTCATAGTTTGCAAATATTTTCTCCCATTCTATCATTAGCCTCTTCACTTTTCTGAATGTTTCAGTGCAGAAGCTTCTCAGCTTGATGGAATCCCTTTTGTCAATTTTGGATTTGATTATCTGTGTTTCTGGGGTCTTTTCCAAGAATTCTTTGCCTATGCCAATGTCTTGCAGAGTTTTTTCAATGTTTCCTAATAATTTGATGATATCAGGTTGTAGATTTAGGTCTTTGATCCATTTTGAGTAGATTTTTGTGTAAGGTGTAAGTTAGAGATCCAGTTTCATACTTCTGCATGTGACGATCCAGTTTCCACGGCATCATTTGTTAAAGAGACTGTCTTTACTCTAGGGACTGATTTTAGCTCCTTTATCAAAGATAAGTTGGTTGTATATGCATGGATTGATTTCTGGAGTTTCTATTCTGTTCCATTTGATCTACAATCCTGTTTTTGTGCCAGTACCAGATTGATTTCATTTTAATTGCCCTGTAGTATGTCTTGAAATCTGTTATTGTGATGCCTCTGGCTTTCTTTTTATTGTTTAAGATTGTTTTAGCTATTCAAGATCTCTTGTGATTCCATATGAATTTTAGCCATCATTTTTTCTAGATCTGCAAAGAATGTCATTGATATGTTGATTGGGATCTCATGGAATATGTAAAATGCTTTTGCTAGTATGGACATTTTGATGATGTTGAATCTTCCAATCCATGAACATTGAATATTTTTCCATTTTTAAATGTCTTCTTGCATTTCTTTCTTCAGTGTTTTGTAATTTTCATCATAGAATCTTTGACATCCTTGGTTAAATTATTCCAAGGCATTTGATTCTTTTTGTAGCTGTTGTGAATGGGAATGGTTTTATAAGTTCTTTCTCAGCCAAGACATTGTCTGTGTATACAAAGGCTATTGATTTCTCTGTGTTGATTTTATATGATGCCACTTTACCAAACTATTTTATGAGTTCTAATAGTCTCTTAGTGCAGTCTTTTGGAACCCCTATATACAATGAAATCATCTGCAAATAGGGGTAGTTTGATTTCCTCTTTTCCAATTTGTATCCCTCTGACTCTTTTTCTTGCCTCATTGCTCTGGCTGAAACTTCCAGGACAATATTAAATAGCAATGGTGAGAGTGGTCATCCTTGTCTGGTTCAGGATCTTAGGGGGAATGCTTCCACTTTTCCCAAATTCAATAGGATGCTGGCTGTAGGTTTGCCATTAACTGCCTTGATTTATGTTAAGGAATGTTCCTTCCGTACCCAATTTCCTTAAAGTTTTCATCATGAAAGGATGCTGTATTTTATAAAATGCTTTCTGTACATCTATTGAAATAACCATATGATTTTTGTTCTTCCATTTGTTAATGCAATGTATCACATTTGCTGATTTGTGAAAGTTGAGCCATTCCTGCATAGCAGGTATAAATCCTATTTGGTCCAGGTGAATGATCTTTCTGATGTGTTGTTGGATGCAAATAGCTAATATTTTATTGAGGATTTTTGCATCTACATTCATTAGGGATATTGGTCTAGAGTTCTCTGTTTTTGTTGCATTTTTTTCTGGCTCACAAATTTTTTTGCCTTTTCTTTTTTTAACTTTTATTTAATAAATATAAATTTGCAAAGTACAGTTTATGGATTACAATGGCTTTTCCCCCCATAACTTCCCTCCCACCCGCAACCCTCCCCTCTCCCTCTCCCTCTCCCTCTCCCCTTCCATTCACATCAAGAGTCATTTTCAATGATCTTTATATACAGAAGATCAATTTAGTATAAATTAAGTAAAGATTTCAACAGTTTTGCACCCACACTGAAACACAAAGTGTAAAATACTGTTTGACTACTAGTTATAGCATTAATTTACATTGTACAACACATTACGGACAGAGATCCTACATGGGGAGTAGTTTATTTATTTATTTATTTAATTATTTATTTTTTGACAGGCAGAGTTAGACAGTGAGAGACAAAGATCTTCCTTCCATTGGTTCACCCCTCAAATGGCCGCTACAGCCGGCATGTTGTGCCGATCCGAAGCCAGGAGCCAGGGGCTTCCTCCTGGTCTCCCATGTGGGTGCAGGGCCCAAGCACCTGGGCCATCCTCCACTGCCTTCCTGGGCCACAGTAGAGAGCTGGACTGGAGGAGGATCAACCGGGACAGAATCTGGCGCCCTTACCGGGACTAGAACCCGGGGTGCCGGCACCACAGCGGAGGATTAGCCTAGTGAGCCGTGGCGCCAGCCACAGAAGTTTATTAACATATATAATTCTTATATACAAAGGAGAAGTCAGGGAAAGTGTAAGTCTCAAAGAAGTATCCTATACCCCTTATTTATACAACATCTTCAACAAATAATAAATTTGTAAATAAATACAAGTTGAAATAAAAGGGCCTTTCATTTCCAGGAGCAAATTATGGGAAGGAAATATATGGAAAATTAATGCTAGATAAAGACAAGTTAGTACACCTTGCTATGTAGAGTCTTCTGTTGTTGTCTCTAGGCTGAAAGGGTTAAACTTATATCCACTGATCAGCCTTTGGTCTTCTATCACAGAGCTGAGAAGGGACACATCTGTAAATACATATCCCTTTAGGAAATAGGGGGATGGCAGAGAGTTATTCTTAAACCTGCTGCTTCTCAGTTGCTTTCAACTAAACTAATCCCTGTACCATAGTGGTATATTTAAGAGTGACATATTTTGCCATGGTTTAATACTTAAAGGAGGGTGTCCTGTATTTGATTCAAAGGATAAAAAATATAATTACTTTCAGCAAATCATATATCAGTATGAAATCCTGTAAGCAATCTTTCAATAGATTAGCTTAAGATTATTTCAATAATAAAAATAAACTCCAAAAATTATTATGTGCATTTTAACATTGAATTGGAAATGGTACTGTATATTTTAACATTTATCTTTTAGCAAATTTAGGAAATTCTCTATTGTTAGTTCATATTAGGAAAATAAATGACTGTCTCCTGTATAATTAACTAAATAGCAATCTTGCTTTGTCTTGTGGCCATATCCTATGTTTCTGAGTTATTGGGGTATCCATATGACTCCTCAGATTTAGAAATCACCATTATTAATGAGACTTATTTTGTTTCAGATATTTGATCTTTTATGTTACATATGTTTTTTACATAACTGCTTCATGTTTTTGTCAACAAGCTGATAGAACGAAGATAGGAAAATGTAAATCACTGGTACTACTAATACCAGAAGAAAGTCATTACTCATTAATAATATGCAAAAGCACCCTATTTACATATGTATTTGAGCACGTGTTAAAGTGACATTAAACACTCTATATTATTTTCCTCTCCTCTTAAAACTTCATTTTTATAATCTCCAAAGAGAGAGCTGTGACCCTTCTGTAGCAATAGCAGTGCTTATGAGGAAATTACTAAAAATTTAATCCATTCATCCAACCAGTATTATACAATAATAGAACATTGTGCTTCATTTATTTGAAAATATTTTCATGCAACATAATAAGTGTTATGACAATAATAAACAGTTACTCCAAACATAAATATATTAGATATTAACTGAGCAGATTTAATTTTAAGTTTAAGTCTATTGAGGAATTGTTTCAATGCATTATCTTGTCTTGGCTGGTAGAGATTTCATTGATTTCTTCACTCTTCCTCCACTCTTGAAAAAGTTAATTTGTGTATCTACATCCAAACTTTTCATCTGAACAAAATTTCAATTCTTTCTGTTTTCTCCAACATCTAGCTACAACTCTCTAAGCAAACTTTTCCAACTTTTTTACCTTCCTGCGTGACTTCCTGTCACAGAGAGCTAAAACCTTAATACGTAGGTCTCTGCTAGGAGTCCATGATCCTTTTCAGCCGACCCTTGCCCTCCGACCTGAAGCCTTATGAGCTGAACTCTGAATTCTGAAAGTCCTCATCCCTGCAGTGTAGGGACTTGATTGATCTCCAAACAAATTAAGATCTGGGACACTAAGAATGTTCCCCAAAATGCTCGAGTTGCATGTGTCATTATCCAAGAGGTTCAAGACCATGGAGAACTTCACAGAAAGTATTGACAAGCTAGCTGGAGAACCCAAAGAAACTTAATGATCCATAGAAAGATTTATCTCTACTAATATTTGGACTAACACTGGCCTGGTTACCTTAGAGTTCAACTCTCACCTTCTTATTTTAATAATATCTTTAATATTAATGTTACTTTTTTATTTTAGGTATGCCTATTTTTAAGCTGACTGAACTGTTAAAACAGTTGATTTTTTTCTCCACCTCTAAATAATGGGAATAATTTCCTTTACAGAAACTCTGCAACCAGAGTTTGCCACACACAACTTTTAGACTCTGTTTTAACGTACTCGAGAGGTTTCTGATTACCTCTGAATCACTAATAGATATTTGCTTTAAATGAAAGAAGAAGTTGACAGCATTCAACCTTATTTGATTAGGCCAATACTCGTGGAAGCAGGGACTGTTGACAATACCCAGGCACCAAATTTTGTGCTAACAGGCTCACCAGCTGAACAGCTAATTGCAAAACATTACCTTACCTCGTAATAATCCCTGATAAAATACATCTTCACCCTATCTCAATGACTCAGATAACATCTTTGTCAACAAGACTCCTGTGGGTAGAAGTTACCTTTCTTGCAACAGCTTAAATAAAACCATCTTCTCAGTTGTTCAATTCATTGTGTATGACTGATGGTCAGAAAGTCAAGATCAAAATCCAACATGACTCTGATATTCAGTTAGGTTCTGGATGCAATAATGTCACATCAAATGAATCACTTTATTCTAGAACACTTGCTATGTGATCTCATCCATACAAATGCACTCTTCTTCAAATACAACATTTAATAACAGTGACAAAGGAGTGTACATGTCTCCAGTGTAACTTTGTCAATGGCCAGATCCTCTTTAGCAGTTATCTTCTGAACATTTTAAGGGCATTTTCTACTTTATCTTCATTTTCAAAGTAAGTATTATATGTACTTTTTAATAATATTTAAAGAACTAAGAATTTTTCCCATTCCTACCCTTTTTCTAAACGATTTGAACATAGTCTCTCTTGCTAAGATCTAGGTTGTAACAAAGCTAAATTAACAAAAACATAGTTGGCACTAAGACTCAAGTTCAAGGAGCAGGCTAAGTCACTTTCTTTCTTTCTTTCTTTTTTTTTTTTTTTTTTTTTTTTTTTTTTTTTTTTTTTTGAGAGGCAGAGTGGACAGTGAGAGAGAGAGACAGAGAGAAAGGTCTTCCTTTTTTTTTCCGTTGGTTCACCCTCCAATGGCCGCCGCGGCCAGCAAGCTATGGCCGGTGCATCGCGCTGATCCGAAGCCAGGAGCCAGGTACTTCTCCTGGTCTCCCATGCGGGTGCAGGGCCCAATGACTTGGGCCATCCTCCACTGCACTCCCTGGCCACAGCAGAGAGCTGGCCTGGAAGAGGGGCAACCAGGACAGAATCCGGCGCCCCAACCGAGACTAGAACCCGGTGTGCCAGCGCCGCAGGCGGAGGATTAGCCTAGTGAGCAGTGGTGCTGGCTAAGTCACTTTCAACATATAACCCAAAGACTTTTTAACATATTAGTGCATAGGCAACTAAATCAAGATGCATTTTGGCAGAATTAAAGATAAGATTACCTGGCAAATGGGCAATCTATAAAAATTAAAAAATTATGCTAAATACTGTCTTCTTTACCTCCAGACTGGAAATGGCTGAAACTGAACTGGAACTACAGGTTGAAGCAAACAATAGAAGCTTAAAGCAGAGCAGAGGACTAAAAGGTTGAACAGAAAGAGATCAAATGGATAGGGGTGTGGTGATGGGGCTGGTGCAAAGCTTAGAGGATGAAGGACTGTTGAGGTGCAGAGATGAGAAATAACATAGACTGGAAAGGCCACTTTGGAAACCCACCTCCCCAGAGAGCCCCTTGGGAATAGAAAGATACACCCCCAATCAGAGAAAGGGTGATTGTGGGAATTCTGAATTCTCTCTGTGTTCTTTCCCAGCTAACAGAGTGTGCAATATTAAATAGTATCACTACTCCCTTCCACTAGTAATGGTATTAACACTGTTCCAATCCATGTATGTCTGCCTCTAACACACATGATTCTTTTATTGTATGTCTGCCTCTATCACACATGATTCTTTTCTTGTATGTCTGCCTCTAACACACATGATTCTTTTCTTGTGTCTCTGCCCTTCTTGCTTCCATCTTGTTTATTATATTTTGCTGTTCACCTTGATTGCGATGGCCTTTGCTTCGGTAAGCCAAGAGTTACTCAATAACCTAGTTGTAGTTAAGAACAAGGAATTCAGTGTTCACATAAGTTAAGCCAGCAGAATAAATTCTGTTAGTTCCCTTAGAAAAAGTGCCTTGCAGTCCTTGAGATGCACATTTCACAGAGCAGTTTTCTACACAGTAGCTTGTGATGTGTCAGCGTCGGGTTATTTATTTACAATCGTATTTCCTTGCTAAGGTAAAAGGTAAGCAAGGAATGAAAGCAATTATCACAGTTTTTTTCCACTGAGGCTGTCAGTGCAATGTACCCCTGTGACACAGCCTGACACTTTTAATGAATTCCCAGGGTTATGCGACAATACTACTAACACCCACATCTGTCACTTGGAGATAGGGATTTTCTTTGCATTCTTGAGCTTGGATGCTAACATTCTTTGTCCTAGCTAATGAGGATCTGACTTTTTATTCTGGAACAGGGCACTTTAATAATGTGTCTCCACAGATCACATTGAACAGACCCTAAATTGTGATTCAGTCAGAGCTGATTCCAAATACACGGTTTAATAAAATTCAGTGGAACATGCTTAGAGGCTTTATTTTGTCAGTAGATAAAACTGCATATATTGAGGAGTCAAAAGGCCCATAGTTAAATTTACCACTTTCTCTGCACAGCTGCACTGCTTTTCCGTGAGTCCATTCCTATTTGTGTGCTTGTTCACCTCTTTACTGACAGGGATTTCTAAAACACTGTTGTGTTGAACTCTGGCAGAAATGCATGGCTGCCCAGCATTATTTAACAGTCTGTGCCGGGCAAGGCCAGCTGGCCTCTAGGAGTCATACTCCTCCAACCTGATTTTAGAGAGTTCCTTCTCACCCTAATTTGTTAGGAAAAATCAACTTGTAGTGGGCAAAATACCAGGTATGAGTAAACACTGGAAAACAGGTATCCTGGGGCTGTGATCATTAGTACAGACACTTGGTACAGAATCAAGCATGTGTTACAATAGAACTTCTGCAACTGAGGAATGAAAGAATAGGCTAAGGAAGGGACCTCCCATAAGGCTTGCTCTGGAGGGTAACAGGGGCCTAAGATACGGGGTGGAGTCATGAGAGATGTGAATGAAGCTGGGTTTGGAAAAACGCTATTCAGAAGACTCATTTAAGGGGAACACAAGCATTGGATGGGCAGCCCTAGCCAGATTTCAGATTGTCAGCCCATTCTGAGCAGGAGTGTTGCCAAGAGCTGGAGGCGTCACAGGCAATAGGATCCAGCTGGAAATAATGGTGGAGGGTGTCCAGCCCCAGCAAGCAGGCCCAGGGTGAGAAAGGATCTTCAATACCAGTGGAGAACTTAGGCACCACCTTCTCAAACCAAGCCATGACCACAAGGATGACAGCTCAATGACGAAGAGGACCAAGACAAGAAAGGGCAAGAGACATGTGCAAAAGTGTGTTAAGTTTTAAATAAGTCACACATTGAGTAAATTGATCAGTAAGCCAACAGGTGCGAGGTTAAGTGGCTTTGGCAAAGTGGACTTTTCCCAGGTGCAGAAAGAGTCAAAGAGCAGTCTGAAATTCGAGGAGCCTACAGGTGCCTGGGACTGAATCAGGTCACAGGCAACAAAATTAGTTCCACATCCCAGAGGTCCAGGTGCCAGTGATCTAAGGGGTAGCTTACCGCGATCAGTGTTGTCCAGAAACTGAGTGATGCCCCATGCACAGGTGGAAGGCATCAACACAGAATGACTGGAAGAAAGCAAGGGGTGATTGGCAAGTGAAGTCATCACACAGAGTTTAGAAATAGATCCTATCCAATTAGCTCAGCTTCAGACAGGCATGTTAAAGTTGTATGCTCTGCTCCCACTCACTGCCTGTTGGGCAACAAAGACAAGGAATCCATAATTCTCTGATATGTATATGAATATATTTAACCTTCTTGTGTTCACGTCTTTATTGTTCACTTGAGAAAATCCATGGACAAAAGAAGATCCTACAACACAGGCATAATTTAACATCAAGTATCATAACCTTGAAGGTAGACAACAGATTCGTGTTTCTTAAACAAAACAAACAACAGCAAGCATAATATTACGGCCACACTCTGACACAGTGAAAGAAGCTGCAGTTGTTTCCACTGTCCCAAATCCCCACAGTTGCTTCATTATACAATGCAATGTCTTTGAGACAGCAGCACATTGTGGGAACTGGTTAAGAACACTTTCCCAGGACGGGAGTTATGTTGCTGTGGCTTACACTCACATCCCACGTCAGGTTTGAGTCCCAGCTACTCTGCCTCCTATCCAGCATCCTGCCAATGCATCCTCCAAGGCAGCAGATTATGGTTCAAGGACCTGGCCCCCTGCCATCCTGGTGAGAGACCTGGATAGAGTTCAGGGGTCCTTACTTTGGACTCCCTCATCCCTGGGTATTGCAGACATTCAAGACATGAACCAGTAGAAGGAAGATATTTCTGAGGTTGGCATTGTGTTGCAGTGGGTTAAGACGCTATCTGCAGTGGCAGCATTTCTTATGGGTACTGGTCCAAGTACTGGATGTTCCACATCCAATTCAGCTACTCGCTAATGAACCTGGAGGATGACTCAAGCGCTTGGGCCCCTGCACCCTTGTGGGAGACCAGGAGGAAGCTCTGGCCTCCTGACTTCAGCTTGGCCCAGCCCTGACTGCTACGGCCATTTAGAAAGTGATCAAGCAGATGGACGAAATCTCTCTCTCTCTCTCTCTTTCGGTAACTCAAACTTTCAAATATGTAAAAAAAGGAAGCTCTCTCTCTCTCTCTCTCTCTCTCTGTGTGTGTGGTTCTGTATTTCAAGTACATGAAAATAATAAATAAATATTTTAAAAGAACAGTTTCCCACAGGAGGTCCCTAGGATGGTGGTAGTGGTTAGTAAAGTCAGGATAGGTTGAACTATTAGCCAGTGTGATATTTTTATATCAATGAAATGATAATTTGTACTTTTAAGGTGGTAAACATAGGCATACAGTACACTGTTTTATAGAACTATTTTCTCTCACCCTTCTTACATCCATACTATCATAAAAAGTTGTGTAATGTGGCAGAATTTTGCCATTGAGAATCTTCAGCTTTGGAACAAACATCTTTGGGCTTACATCCTATACCTACTACTTACAAGCAAGAAACATTTTGTATACTATGAAGCCTTGACTTCTGAATCCTTGTGACATGCATAATTCAATCTAACTCAAAACGTCAGTGGTAGTATTAAATGAGACATTATAAAATATCAAGGACTATGTATTATAACTAGTAGATAAGCATTCAATAAACATGAGTTAATTTTTCTTTCCTGATCACCTTCTTATAAAAATTACTTGTGATTATAGCTGTCTGTGGAATGCAGAGAAAGATTTACTAAAAGACCTGAAGCTTGGTGCAGACTTCCAGACCAGGACCCCTTTCTAAAGGGTAAATTTTCTGAGAAAAGATTTTTTTCCATTTAGGCCTGTCCCATATG